AACGAGAGCAGCATTTTGGGAAAAAATGACGCCGGCGCCTCAGCGAGAGTCGTTTCCCGGGATTTTTCGGGCATCCTGTGTGTAAAAAAAAACAGTACGCGGAGGGTGCGCGGCTATCACCCGGACGCCATCAGGGGAAGGATTCGGGAGCAGAAATGAGGCCGGCGCCTCAACGAGAGCAGCATTTTGGGAAAAAATGACGCCGGCGCGAGAGCAGCATTTTGAAGAAAAAATGACGCCAGCGCCTCAGCGAGAGTCGTTTCCCGGGATTTTTCGTGCATCCTGTGTTTAAAAAAACAGTACGCGGAGGGTGGGCGGCTATCACCCGGACGCCATCAGGGGAAGAGGGAGAGTATATTCATATTGAGTAATTGTGCAGGGGGGCGGATTTTCGGAGGGGGGGGGACCCCAGGGTTCCGGAGGAAGAGGGGGGGGAATTTTCCACAGTAAAGCGGCGGTGGATCACGCTCTCTCTCTCTTTTTTTTTTTTTTTTTTTTTTTTTTCTCTCTCTATCTCTCTCTCTCTCTCTCCCGATGATGCTGATGCTGATGATGATGCTGATGATGATGGTGATGTAGATGGTGATGCTGATGATGCCGATGCTGATGCTGATGCTGAACATGATGCTGATGATGATGATGATGCTGATGCTGGTGATGCTGCAGATAAGGATGATACTTATGATGATGATGATGATGCTGATGATGATAGTGATGATGATGACGATGATAATGCTGATGATGGTGCCGCTGATGATGATGCTGATGATGATGATGCTGGTGATGATGATGACACTGATGATGATGCTGCTGCTGATGATGATGCAGATGACAATGATGATGACGATGATGCTGCTGCTGCTGCTGCTGATGATGATGATGATGATGATGATGATGATGATGATGATGCGGAAGAGGAGGAGGAGGAGGAGGAGGAGGAGGAGGAGGAGGAGGAGGAGGAGGACGACGAGGAAAAGGAGGAGGAGGACGACGACGGACGCGCGGGCTCTGCCCCCAGGACGGCATCCCGTACACGTTCTGGTTCTCGGCGTACTTCTTCCAGCAGGCCGTGCGGCCGCTCGGCTCTCTCTCCAGAGACCCTCTTGCTCGGCACATCCGAGCTGGGGTACGGAGAGGCTGGGGACGAAGACTGACAGCCTTGGCATAAACAAGAATAATCTCGGAGAGGCCATGACAAAAATAAGACGAATAATAATAACAAGCTTAATACATAAGAAACAGAAGAAAACAAACAAAACATCTCGGAGAGGCCAGCGCCAGAAAACCTGGACCATTTTGGAGCACCTCGGCCCATCCCGAGAAGAAAACGCACGCACGAGACCCAGGCATGCACGGGGAATGGACGTCCCAGCGATGGCGAGCAGCAGTCTCTTCCATGCGGTGGTGCACTTGCTGTTTTTTTTGTTCATTCGTGTTGCTTACATATGCGCGTTGTCTTGCCTCTCTGCTGATTTCTCAGCTTTCTCGCACGTTTCACAGACCTGGCGCTACGCCGCCCGCCTGCGACGCCCTAGCCGGCGACAGCTGCAGGTCCGATGTCCGATGTTCTGCACGAGCGAAATGGTACGGCAAGCATGGGTACAATGCTCAACGGCCTGTTCATTTTGAACAGGACTCGCTGTCCGCGCCGCCGCGGCCTGTGTCCATTTGAGACAGAAGGCCGCCTGCCCAACAGCGGCCGCTGTTGGTTTGGGACAACATGTGTTGTTGGGCATTGTACCCATTTTTTCCGTACCCATTTCGGGCGTCCAAATCCGATGTCCGATGTCCATGCTGAGCAGGGTTCGTTGTCGGGGCCGCCGCGGGTGTTGCCCATTCGAGACGCCAGTCCGCCTGCCCGACAGTGGCTTCTGCCGGTTTTGGACAACGTTTGTTGTGGGGCATCGTACCGCAGGCTCATGCGGCGTTGGCACGCCGGCGACGCCGGCGAAGGCGTTCAAGGTTGAATTCTTCGACGCGGAAGTACCGAGGGACATGGCAACGCCACTGGGCCCGACGGCATTCAGCCTTGAACGAGCGAGGCCGCGATCGATTTAGAGTTGAGCGATCGACCCGGTGTCAAAAACCTTTGCGCGTGCCGACGCTGCACGAACCTACTGTCGGCGTCACCCCAACGAGCTAATACTATGTGTGCGTCGCCTCCCCAGGGGCGACGCGCGCACCGAGACATCTTATGGTAGATGCCTCGTGGCGGGCGCTTTCTGGCTCTTTCTCAGCCCGCCACGCCAGGATAGACGAAACCAACATCGGTGTTTCTTTGCACCTGTCAGGCTGGAATGCATGCACATCTGGAGCCAGATTCAGTCTAGTCACGGTCGCATGTATGCAGGTAGCGCGTGTACCCATCGTTTTCCAGCTGGGCCTTCGGCGTCTGGTTGTCGAAGACCGCCAGCTGCGTTGTCCGAGTTCGCCAGATCCCCAGATGCACCGCTCTGGTGAAGAAAAACGTGGGCCTGGATGGGTCGGGGGTCCCCACGCCCGCCACCTGCTTCTCAGCAGGGATCCCCGCTCCAGGGTTTAAATCCATGTCCCTGAGCTCCACAGGGAGAAGACCACTTCGGGGCCACTCGACGTTTGAGAACCTTACGCAACTGCCTACCACTCTCTTTGTTTCCTCACCCGACTGCTCGTCCTCCAAGGCGTTGAAAGGTGCAGCCGTCGAGCAGACAGGTGGCAACCCTTCACACTTCCACGTCTCGAGCCGCCATCCCCCCCTTCGGGTCCAGGCTTCGCCCAGAACTTTAACTGCTCCTCGCGTGTGCACCTCTAAGAGCCTTCTTTTTTGGGGGCCGATGCGCACTCCAGCCGCAGCGCGAGCGTGAACGAAAAGCTTTTTGGAGGTTCCGAGTGCCCCACGACTCACGCAAGGCTTCTGAGTGTTCCTCTCGTTTCTGCTGGAAGACCAGGCGAGACATCGCCCGAAACTCCTTGGTCGCCTGGCGAAGCCGATCCGTCACCGCCTCGAGCACGGAGAAGCCGCCCCCGCAGGGGCCACTCGAAGCTCACGCCGGTGCACCAGCAGCTGAGAACGGTTCCGGTTCCCTCCTAATTCTGCTTTGCACCGCGACATCGTGTAGAACCTGCTCGGAGGAGGAGGAGGAGGGAGGAGGAGGAGGAGGAGGAGGAGGAGGAGGAGGAGATTCAGAAATATCCCCCATCTCGGATTGAAGGACAGTCCCAAGGGCAGTGCATGCTCTGCCTGTCAAAGCCTGTCTTTGTCTCTTTCTCTCTGCCTCTCTGTCTCATCGTCTCTCTGTCTCTGTCCATGTTTCCGTTTCTTTCTCTCTCTCTATCTGTCTCTCGCGCTCTCTCCCTCTCTCTCTCTCTCTCTGAGAGTCGGTCAGTCAGTCAGTCTGTCTGTCTGCCTGTTTCTATGCCTGTCTTTTTTTCTAACGTCTCTCTCTCTGTGTCTCTCCCTCCCTCCCTCTGTATCTCCGAAAGTGTCTGATCCACGGTCGAGGTGCTTCTCTTCTGGTAGGTGGATCTCTGAAGCTCTCCGCCGCCTCTGGCGGTGTGCGTTGCGAGCAGGACCACAGCAAGGCCCCCCGAGGTGGGAGCGGGAACTGCGGACACGGAGAGCCGCTGACCCCCCCCCCGCCCCGCCCCCCCCCGCCGAGGGCGTGGGGCCTGCCTCGGGCAGGGCGGAGGAGGTCTCGATGTGTTTGTCTTCCGCCACCACCACCACCATAAGTTGGAGGGGGGAAGAAGGTGGATGATGATGATGATGAGGAGGAGGAGGAGGAGGAGGAGGAGGAGGAGGAGGAGGAGGAGGAGGAAAGAGGGAGGAGGAGGAGGAGGAGGAGGAGGAGGAGGAGGAGGAGGAGGAGGAGGAGGAGGAGGAGGAGGAGGAGGAGGAGGGAGGAGGAGGAGGAGGAGGAGGAGGAGGAGGAGGAGGAAGAGGAGGAGGAGGAGGAGAAGGAGGAGGAAGACGAGGAGGAGGAGGAGGAGGAGGAGGAGGAGGAGGAGGACCCCCTCCCCCTCCTAGTTATGGTGGTGGTGGTGGTGGTGGTGGTGGGAAAAGAGGCTCATCAGGTCTCGCACGCCAGCACCGCACCAGGCTGGTGGGAGGAGGGAGGACGTACACGTACACGTACATGTGTCCGCACGAGGGTACGTGCTGTGCGAACGTTCGTATCACGCGGCTGGTCTCGTGGACTGGGGGGCCGTGTTCGTGCACGTGGTTGGGCGCGTACGTCCGTTGTGGGCATTCTGGAGATTCAAGTGAGCGGTGCAAACAAGCGGGGTCGTCTGCGCCGACACTGGCGCCCAAGCTGCCCGTGTACGTAAGGTCGCGCGTAAGCGCCCTCGTTTCGTATGCAGCGTGCCGCGCCGACTGCCCGCGTAGGCCGCCGCGTGAGGTCGCTACGACACCTCGCGTGAGACCCGTTTGTGTTCGTCGCTCAAGTGGAGGTTCAACGGCACTGCCAACAGGTTCGACGGGACGGGGTCTTCTGTAGGTCGACTGATCTCAACGGGTCGACGGAACTTCAGACACGTCTTGCTCTTAGTCAGTGGGCTTCGCTGGAGCGGCCCGTGGGCGGGGGTTTTGAGGGCCAGGCGCAGGGTTCAACCTGGTCATCCATTGGTAGGGGGCCACATGCGAACCCTACCCCTACCCCCCACGATTTCTGAGGGGTAGGGTGGGGGTCACTCCATTCGGGAGCTCCCGAGCGAAGTGACCCCCCCCCCCCCTCAGAAATCGTGGTGTAGGGGCAGGGTTCGCGTGTGGCCCCCGAGTTGGACACGGCTCGTCGCAACGACCAGACGGCTTGGCAAGCAATCTGCTATCATGCCGGCGGGATGCCGCACCCTGCCACCGCCCAGGCGTTCTTGACCGGGGTGCTCCAGAACTTTGCCCGCGGGGGCAAGATCGCCATCGACCGGTGCACGTGGAACTTCAAGGTCATGAAGGCCGGGCGCTCAGCTCGCGCCCTCCGAGCGCCTCTGCGGTGGATCGCTCCCACGTCTCCTCCTCGTTGGAACAGTCTCCCGCGTGTTCAAGGCGGCCAGGGCATGAGCCCCCTGACCTCCGCTGCAGTGAGAGAATGTTATGCCGCAGGGGATCCAGACCTCTCTATGCGGAAGGCGATACCCATTCACCTACCGATCTTGGCCTGGCCGATCCTTGGTTCAGGGTCGGTATGTATGTTTGTTTGTTTGTATGTATGTATGTGTATATGAATGTGTGTCGGTGTGTATGTATGTATGTATGTATGTATGTATGTATGTATGTATGTATGTATGTATGTATGTATGTATGTATGTATGTGTGTATGCATGCATGTATGTATGTATGTATGTATGTATGCATGTATGTATGTATGTACGTACGTACGTACGTACGTACGCAGGTATGTATGCATGCATGCATGCATGCATGTATGTATGTATGTACGTATGTATCCATACACGCATATACATGTATGCATGTATGTACGCATGTATGCATGTATGTCTGTCTGTATGCATGTATGTATATATGTATGTATGCATGCATGCATGTATGCATATATGTATGCATGTGTGTGTATGTATGTATGTGTGCATGCATGCATGCATGTATCTATGTACGTACGTACGTACGTACGTATGCATGCATGCATGCATGCATGTATGCATGTATGTGTGCATGCATGCATGCATGCATGCATGCATGCATGTTTGTTTGTTTGTATGTATGTATGTATGTATGTATGTATGTATGTATGTATGTATGTCTGTACGTGTGCATGCATGTGTGCATGCATGTATGTATGCATACATGTATGTATGCATGTATGTTTGCATGTATGTATGTATGTGCGTACGCATGCATATATTTCTGCATGTATGCATGTATGTATGCATCTATATATATATATATGGTGTGTGCATGTACGTATGTATGCATGCATGCATGCATGCATGAATATACGTCACGTATCTATGTGTATGTATGTATGTATGTATGTATGTATGTATGTATGCATGCATGCATGCATGCATGCATGCATGCATGCATGCATGTATGTATGTATGTATGTATGTATGTATGTATGTATGTGTGTGCATTTATGTATGTATGCATGCATGCATGAATGTATGCACGTATGTAAGTACGTATACATGCATGCTTGCATGCATGTATGTATGTTTGCATGTATGTATGCATGTATGCATATATGTATGCATGGGAGGATTTGGGCCTCTCGAGGACGCGATTGAGAGGCTGCAAGGCCACTCTAGGCCGTCTTGGAACAGTGCGGATGTATCGTCGAGGTATGTTGGAAACAATCGTAAGCAATTTCGAGTTACGTTGTGCCATTTTCGAGGACATCGCGATCACACCCACCCAGACCAAGGGGCAGGGGGCGGCACACTTCCTGCGAAACCTCCACCAGTTTCCGCGAGAACCCTTGCAGCTCAGGCTCTCACTGGGGATGTGAGTGTGTGGCCACGTGGGGTGTGAGTGTCAAACTTTGAGGCGCGCGGGGGAAGATGATCGCAATCGTCGCCTTAAGCAGCAGAGCAGGCGCCCGACAAACAAGAGGCACCGCTGCCGACGCGGGTGTCGGACCCGCTCGAGGCGCAGCGGGCGACTGCGCGTGTGAGTGCGTGCCCATTTTTCCTTCGGTTCGCACTGGCGCCGGCCGCGCCGCCGGCACGAGTTGGACTGTGACGGGCTTGTTTTCCACCACCACCACCACCATAAGTTGGAGGGGAGAAGGAGGAGGAGGAGGAGGAAGAGGAGGAAGAGGAGGAGGAGGAGGAGGGAACGAGGAAGAGGTGGAGGAGGAGGACCCCCTCCCCCTCCAATTTACGGTGGTGGTGGAGAGTAGGCCCATCAGACGAACCACTGCAGTACTTCGGCCCATCTTGGAGCAAGCCCGCGTTCTTGGATCTGGCCAGCGCGACCTGTCGCTGCGTCGGAGTGTTCGTGTGTATGCACGTCCGCGGTTCTAGATCTAATTGACGCTTCGCGCTCCACCTTCCCCTCTGGCCGCTCTTCCGCCTTCTCGCCTGGCCAGTGCCGCGGCGTGCGTGCCTGCACTGCTTTTCCCTTTCGCTACGAGCGCGGCCCGCCGTAGCACGCTCGGCGTTCGACTTGCTTCGCGCGCCCGCTGACCAAACACTACTCCCACCGGCCCATCCAGAAACGATCAGCAAGGGAGTTGGTAAGGTTGGGACGGCTGGAAGCACGCAGTTGCGCGGCCGTCTTCAGAAAAACAAGGATCACAAGTAGCTTCCCGCGTTGAAGTTTAAGATGGAAATGGGTGCAATCTACGATGTGGTGCTCCCCGTGGTAAGCGTCTCTAGCGCAGGTGACTGTATCCACGCTGGGCCATGAGAAACAAGGCTTCGTGCAGCGAAGCTTAAGATGGAAACCGGTGCAGGATACACCGGGGTGTTCCCTGTGGTAAGCGTCTCTGGCGCAGCGGACCCCGTCGTAGAATCGGATTTTCTATTCTTGGACCCTCTTTGGGCTCTCTTGGGGGTCTCTTGGGGCTCTCTTGAGGCTCTTTCGGCGCTCTTTTGGGGAGTCTTGCGGCCCTCTTGGGGCTCTTTTGGGGGGTCTGGGGGCCTCTTGGGGCCGTCTTGGGCCCCTTCGCTTAAACAGAGAGGGGTAGTAGATTGAAGGTTCCCCCCTCGGAGGCCCAACTGGGCCGTCTTGGGGCCCTCTTGGACCGCTCTTGGGGCGCTCTTGGGCGCTCTTGGGGCCGTCTTGGGGCCCTCTCGGGCTTCTCTTGGGGCTATGTTGGGCCATCTTGGGGCCATCTTGACGCCTCAAGAGCCCATCAGAAGCGAACAAGCGAAACGGCACAAAACAGTGATTTTCTGTAGGTTTTAACTCATTTCGGCCTCTTGGGGGAATCCTTGGGGGGCTCGGAGGGCACTTGAAACCGTCTTGGGGCCGTCTAGAGGCCTCTTGGATGCGTGTGAGAGGCCATCTTGAGCCGTCTTGAGGTATCTTGGGCGATCTTGGAGGCCATCTTGGGCCAGCTGAAGCCCTCTTGAATTATCTGGGGCCATCTATGACGCTCCAACCACTCGCGGGGGAGCCCGTCCAGACCCAGGGAGGGGGGGGAGGTAAAACTCCCGAGCAGGGAAAGGAAGGAGGTTAGAAAAGGAAGCGCTCTAGACCACCTGCGCCCAGAGGGCTAGTGGGATTGAGTAAAGCCCGTTCTAGTTCGTGGATTCGCTGGCTGCATCCATCAGTGCGTCGGCGATTCAAAACAGCATCTCTCTCTCTCTGTGTGTGTGTGCGTGTCCATAGCCTTGGCTTCAAGTGGCTCGAGGTTAGCCCCCTGTACCTCTGCAAATTGCCGCCTGGGCTGCCGCAGAGCCGTTCCCCTCCCAGGCCACCAGGTGCTCCTGCGATGCCCGCTGCCCGGTGGCTGGTCGGCGCCGTGCTCGCGGCCGTGTGCCCGCTGGGCTCCTGCGAGGTTCGCCGCTTCTCCTGGTCGGCGCCCGCGGATCACCCGCACCTGCGCCGCCTGTCCGCCGGCGGGGCAACCCCGGACACGCTGAACGTCACAGTGGACATCGTGAAGCTGGACACCTTCGGCGTGGAGGGGGCGAAGATGGACGTCAGCTTCCAGAGGGAGGACGGCGCTCGCATGCGCCTCTACTTCCCCGGCACCGAGGGGAATCAGGGGCATAACATGCCGCACTGGCTTCAGATGATCAGCGCGGTCACCCTCGTCGGCCATGCGGAGAGCGATGCGCTGGCCGCGCAGCAGGAGAGGGACGAGCTCGACAACCCCGAGATGTCCGCTGGCCTCACGCCGCTCGGGGCAGACGGGATGGAGGTTTTCGACACCCGGGAGCTCTTCGTGGTAGAGGCCGCCCAGGGCGAGGTGGACTCCGAGGAGTTCGAGGCCGACAACTCGCGCCGCCTGTCCGACGGCCTTGCTCCGACCGTGCTGGACACCGTGGTGGTCCTCATCTCTCCCTGCGGCGAAGAGCTGGTGCACTCCACCCCGCACGGCGTGCAGAGCGCTGTATTCAGCAACGGCGCCGGCTCTGTCAACAGCATCCTCAAAGACTGTGCCTCCGTCAGCAGCACCAAGGACATCTCTGTCACGGGAGACGTCATCGGACCCATCGAGATATGCCCGTCGAGCAGAGACATGTGGTCAGTCACCCGAGCGTGCGATGATCACCTGAAGGACGACCCGAGGTGGACGGGCAACTACTATAAGGCCATGGTGCTTCCAGACGACTGGCTCGGCAATGCGGCGGGCATGGGCGAGCTCAAGGGAGCCAACACGTGGTACCGCGACAGCGTCACTCAGGGCTCCTCGGTTTTCATTCACGAGTACGGGCACAACTTTGGGCTCCATCACGCCAACGGCAAGTACTACTGGTATGAGTATATGGACTGGAGCTCCGCGATGGGCAACCCCATGACTGGCAGGTGCTTCAACTTCCTGCAGCAGTGGCAGCTCGGCTACTCGGCATTCATGGACCAGGAGGTCAGCGTGGAGCAGATCCTGGCCGGCAGCGAGGTCTCCCTCACCCTGCCCGAGGTGGGAGTGCATCACCAGAGCGGCGTGAGGCTCAACCTGCCGCCCCCGGCGGAGGGCACTCTGACCTTCAGCGACGAGCCCTACTTGGTGCTGTCCTGGCGCAGCCGCGGCGGCTTCGACAAGCACATCAGCAGCAGCAGCTCCGCCAACAGGCTCTACGTGCACCAGTGGTCCGGCGATCGGACGCGGAGCACGCAGACGCTGCAGCTGCACGCGGCCGAGCGCGGCTCCACCACGCTCATCGAGTACACCGAGCCGGAGGAGCTGCGAACCTCGCTGCCGACGGGCATCAAGATGACGGTGATGGGATCAACGTACGTCTGGCAGAACGATGAGATCCAAGTCGTGCTGTGCGCGGCCACCGACACCGATCTCGCGGGCAACCTGAATCCCTGCCTCAGCGCCACTACCACAACCACCACCCCGCCGCCGCCTCCGCCCCTGCCGCCCAGCACGTGGGGCGCGTCTTT